AGAAGGTTTAATATATCTAAAAATAATTTCCATCATATATGTTGACTAATAACTATTTGCCATTTATTATAGATTTCGAATATTTTGTTTATATTTTCTTTTAATTTAATTTATTTTTTGTTTTAGGTTTGCGTTCAGCCATTGAACGTTTGCTGTTAATAGCCTTACGAAATAGAAAATCGATTAAATTGCATACTCTGCTTGAGTACAATAAATACGGATTTTTTCTCTATTTCCTTATAATTGAATAGAAAGTTTTAAATCTGCACATATATATGTAAACCGATGTAACTGCATATTAGATAAGGTTAACTACAGTTCCGCCAATATGCTATGTATGTATTTACTTAGCTTTTGCACTAAAATCGAATGTTTTTCTTCTTCTTCTTTTTGCTGCTTCTTGTATATTTCTCTTGGTCTTGAGTTTTTCCCATGTTCCCATATGCTGTACCTTTGTACGACATCAGCAAGCAAAATTTTCTTTACTAAGGCGCAGATTATTTGTAATCGTTTTGAAAATATTTTTAAAAGTTGAGGTTTGAGAACTGAGAGCATCAAACAGAAATTTTGAAGATGACATTTTCTTTATATGCGTCACATGCGTCACATGTTTTGCCTAAATTATTGATGTGTTCCGTCTTTAATTGAAAACGCGTCACTAAGTTATATAAACAGGGAAGATAAGCGTTATCTTCCATTTTTTTATTCTCATTTTTCAAGATATGACAAATGTTAAGAGGAGCAGACGCACAGGTCGGCCTACGCGATTAACATAAATACCGCAATTTATTTATTTAGGCGTCCTTTTAGCTTTCTATCAGTTTTTGTTGTTCTCTCAGTCAGTCAGCCAGTGTGAGACTTTCACCGCATTAAACCCCCTCTACGTTCGACTCATACTCATTAAATTAAGTACGGTAACTAACAAAGTCAATGTATGGAGTCGGCAATTATTAACAAAAGAAATCTTTTCCCACCTGGTGGGTGAATAAAATTAAATTCGAATTTTTATCGTTTTCGTTAGGTTAAATTAAGAAGATTAATGGGTGGAGTCTCGTTCTGTAGACTTTATTAAAATTGATAGCTAAATTCGTACTTGTAAAGGCTTATTGCCAATATGCAAATATCGGAAAATATTCTATATTGACTGCTTGATTTTCCCTAGATTTTTTTCCTTTTCTTTAGTAGGTTAAGTTTAGGTTAGCTTAACTTGGCCGCGGTCAAGTCTAAATTTTGTTTCAAAAAGTGGCGATTATCAGATGAATGCCGTTGCATTTCAAACTGATTTTTTAGTTAATTTAATGATATTCTCAAGATCGGTACTGAACAAGTCTGCAAGCCCATCCAGTAAAACTGTCACGAGAAATTTGCGCTATGTTGGCAAGACTGTAGATATAATGGTTGAAGTTCTCCTAAGAGCTTCCGTTGTGATGATCATAACGACGCGATGATTCGTTACTGTATGGCTACGATTGTTGCGATGGAACTGACTATCAGGGCATATTTCCCTTTCCTTCCGATCTTAAACTAGATCCATTATAAACAAAATGATTCTTATTCTTATGATGAGATAGAATGGCGGTAAATGACTGAACTGAAACGAGTCGTCTTCTTTAGAAGAGTGATCGTCTGACCTATCGTTGACCTAAGTACCGCTTTCTGCCAGCAAGTCAACGTAACTGTGAATTATGCAGAAGATAAGTTATCTGAGCAACCAAAATATGCGAAGCTAAGCTTTCGCTTATCTAATGCGGATTATCTCAGCATTAAATACGTTGCGGTTATTCGACATTCGGGAAAAATTGATTACAATACGATCGTGCAGTTGACGCCAAAGTTCGAACTGGGTTCATCCTCTGTCCCGGGCTTAAGCTTTAGCAGCATCCCTTCACATATCTCGTCACGGTAACATTCGGGAATATAAAGGGTTCACTGTTGCGTGCTGTCGCATGCATGGTTATGCTGTGAGAGTAGAATTAGATGCGTACAGAATATGCTATTCTTTTACAGCATTGCCATTCATTTTGAGAAATGCAAAAAAAAAGCAAATGTTGGGTATCAAGAGATTCGATCTAATCTAAATGCAATTTATTCTTAAATTTCGTTTCGTTTTATTCTCTTAATTAAATATTTTGTTTTTGGTTTAGTTTTGAGTTTTTGTTTTTGCCTGTTTATAATATTTGCGATTGTATGCTCGTTACCCGCTCGCGTATATATGCATATGTTTTTGTTGTTTTTTATTTTTTCGTGCTCATATAACTTTGAAATTTGATTGTACGGCAACAGTTTGTAATTAGCGTCGCTGGCATTCATTTGCATGTCATTCGTATTTTGCAAGAAGAACATTATTATATTAATATAATATAATAAATAATAATTTTGTTTTCTTAACTGAAAGAAGAACATTTTTTTTTTAAATTTCGTAAGAAAAAATTTTTTTTTTTATTTTTTTACAATTTTTTTTTGCAAATCTATCAATAATAATAATAAGAAATATCACAAAATATAAATAATAACAATAATAATGAATTTTTTGAACAAACATATATTTATTTAAGAGTTCAGAAAATATTTTATTCACATCTATATATATGATATTGAATATATATATATATACGTAAATGTAACGTTTTTAGTTGAACTGAGCGGTGTGTCTTCCTTCCCTTTTATACTTATTTATGTCATTTATTTTGCCCCAAAAGCAAAAAAAAAAATAAAAAATCGTTGAGCTCATAGATTTTGCAAAAAAAAATCAACAAAAAAAAAAAAAAAAAAAAAAAAAAAGCGAAAAAACACATAATTATAATAAATAATATTTATATGCGACCATATATGATATGTACGCTTTCGGATGTGTGTATATGTGTGAGTGTGTGTGTGTTTCTTTTTTTTTTTTTCTAAATGAACAGATTTATAGACTCGTTTTATTTTTCAAAATAAAGCAAAGAACTTTAAAGTTTAATCAAATATATATATATAATTGAATAATTATTTGTTGATGTTTTCGTTTTTTTTGTTTTTTTAAATTTTCTTTTCATTTTTCTTTTCTCAAAAATTTTATGTTTATACATCAAATCGTGAAATGTGCTTTAAATTTAAAATCTTCGCCATCAACACTATTACTTATTAATTTAATTAAAGCTGTATATTTATGTTTCGTCTGACTGCTGAAAAGTGTAAAACTGAAGTGGGAAGCGCTTCCCGTGAGTGAAAATGAATGAATGAAATGAACAAGTGAGAAGACTCGATACATCGTAGAATACATTTTGGCATAACGCGTTTGGCTGCGTAGATCTAAAATATGTTTACACTGACAGATCAGGCATGATATTATAACAGTCATATTGAGGGGAGCTTTTATTAATTGGTCATCTATTTATTTTTCTAAAGTGCGTGCACTTTCATATCTTTGCTATAATGCATCCCGAAGTGCTTAGATGCGATTATACGACAATCGAAATCACAATTGAACATTAATTTCAATTTTGGAAGCTTGTATTTTTATACCCGTCACGGAATGATGAGGTCATGTGCAATTTTGTTAAAATTTGTTTTATCTTAATCGGTATCAAATTCTGTATCGACCTAAGCATATTTTTACGTCCATCCGTTCATCAATTTATTTGACTTTGAAGCAGCACATGCTCCTGGCAGCAAAAATTAAGGTATCGAAAACCGAAAACAACAACAACATAGTCAAGGGCACTTGAATTTTGAAAATCAAAAAAATAGATGGAATATTGCTTGTCATCAATCATAAATTGCAACAATAAAAATTGATGTAATCTATGAGTGATTTCACTATATATATCGAAGATTGCAAAAAAATCGGCGATTTTACTTTTCTTGGAGATAGTATTTTTCTTCTTCTTCTTCTTTTTTTTTTTTTGTGGAAAATTTAACTGGCATGAGGAACATTGTTTGTATTCCTTGAATTAGTTCCTTATATGATAGGAAAGTCTACGTTTTAGTATTTTAGGTTGGAAATTCCATATCCAAAACCTTGATCGGATATATAAATTTAATATGGTAAATTTTGGATCAGGTATTTTTTTGTTGTGCTTTCAATCAATCTGTCATCAAAGGAAAGTGATGTTTTGTTCATTATGATGGTCCAAATTTTTGTCGTTTTTAATAACCAAAAATAGTAGCGTATGATATTTAAGTGACGACCGAGCACGATTTTAACGTTTCAACTTGTAATGTACCATGTAAGGTACATATCACTGCGCAGTGAAAACGAAAGTGACAATACAAATCGCTGAGCGCCCCTTAAAACTTAACATTATCTCATTACTGAAGATATTGGCATGAAATTTGACATAAATGTCAGTCAAGTTGTTGTGAATTCAAAAGCACAAAAAAAGAAGAAGAAGAAAAAAAAACTTCTAAGTGAAGAGCTGTTGTTACGTTTTAATCCCAGAGTAGCATGCACGGTACGATATACGAACGATATATTAGGTGAGCGGATTCTCTTTTGATTTCCAAATTAAATATCATAGCGTAGGTCACTCCGTAAAAATAACCCCCCAAAGACAACTATAAAGGTTGTCTCGATCTTTTGCCAAAAAACTAATATCTGTGCAAGTTTTGCGTGACACAGGGAACAAATGCTGTTAGCTTTGCTGCCTATTCTCATTGACTTTTTAGGTTAGAAAAATTTTTTTTACGTAATTTAAAGTTACGTTGTTGATTGATGTCCAAGTTTTTCTTTGAAAAGTACACGAGCTTACTTAGCTTTTGTTTCTTAAATCGAAGAAGAAATTCTTAAAAAAATATTTTTCGAAAAACAATTCTTTGTTTCAAGTTTAAATGAAATCTAAAAGAAAGTTTTCTTATTATCTTAACTCTCCGTGTCTTCGTTAAATCGTCTTTAAAAATTCAATAAAATTTACATTTTGGAAAATATTTCGAAAATCTTTTTCCTTTGTTTTTGAAAATTATAAAAAGAATTTTAAAGTTTAAATATATTTGATGCTGCAAAACAAAAACAAAAAAAAAAAAACCTTGAAATAAAACAATTATCAAAATTGTTATTGTGACCCTTATGGGTATAATCCATCGCGTAATTGCTTTCCTTAGAAAATTTGAATAACATGTTACACAAGTACTAGTGGCTTGACAAGTCCTTAAAAATATTTCAATATTTCGAAATAACTTTTATGCCAATATATTAATGTTATGGAATTTCCAATGGACGCAAAGAAAAATAAAAGGTAAGTAAATTATTTACTCTATCTGCTATCTAAAATATAATATACTCTACGGTTTAATATGTGTGCATATGTCTGAACATTTAACGGCATTAATTCATTATCTAATTGTCTATACGGTTGTTATTCGGTATAAAGTTATTAAAAAGAGCAGAAGTCAAGATTTTTATAAATCCTTTTAAGAAAATCAATAAAAGTTAAGAAGGACGAGAATAAAAGAATAAATGGCATATTTCAAGTTCATTGTTTTTTTAATTCTTTTTGCATTTCTAAACACATTCGAAGTCCAAATAAATAAATGAATGAATGAATGAATGAATGAATGAATGAAAAAACTTCAAGTCCACTAAGGCCAGAATACCAGTAAAAAGAGTAAAATGTTTTCATCTATATATATATACACGTACACACGTACACACGTACACACACACACACATGCGTATGTGTGTTGGAGTAAATTGTTTTTTCTCTTTTCTTCATGCTTACGTTTATACAAAAGAAAGCCAATAAACGATGTGTCATCATTGTTTCAGTTAAAACAAAAAACAAGTAAGAAAATTAAATTCGATCGGCACCGAATCATTTATACTCGTCACCGTCTATCCCAACAAAAAAAAGACAAAAGAAGGAAATTTTCACGCTCTACGATGGGCGCAGTTGATTTCTTCTATTTTCGAAATAAAAGTTTTTGCCGGCATGGAGGCAATGCGGCCGTTGTAGGTGTGACCGTTGAAAAGTTTAGATCTTTTTGCAAATTTGTAGGTGATATCTTCATTTTCGCGATATTAAGCATTTGCCCAAATAAACAGGTGGACACTCGAACTCGCGACTATATTTAGGTGCACTCAAGGTTTGTAACTGGCCAAGAATTTTTGCGCCTTGCCTCTGCGCATTACATAGGTATTAAAAAAAAATGAGTTAAATTTGAACACATTATAATATTGGTTAGACATGGTCAATTTTTTCCGTGTGCACAAATGCTGCCAGCGTCGCCCATAGAATACATATTCAAATATTTATTATAAAAAAAAAAAACAATTTTGCATTCCATTTGAGAAGCAGTGGTATTCTCAGTTTACGTGGTGCTACGGGTACGCCTTTCGACCAATTTGGGCCGTTTTTAGTACTAATCTGCGTGCAGGAGCTTCCATTGCTTCCGCCAAATTTGATGACGATAGCTTCATTTTTGCCGCCCGGGGAATGTTTAAAAGAGACTTAATACAGACGGACAGACGGACATGCTTGAATCGATTTAGAATTTGATGCTGATCAACAATATATATATATATAGTATGTGGAGTCTCTGATGCTTCCTTCTGCGCGTCGCAAACATTTTGACAAAATGAATATACCCCTCGTCTTACGGTGATCGGTATAAAAAGATACATCAAGAGGCAAACGCAAATGCCAGATAACTGCTCGTTCATTACGTTAATCACTTTTTTTTTTTTTTTTTTTGTTAATTGTGCATAAAATTATTGCAAAATCAGTGAGAGGGTCTGACTCGGTAAACTCATAGAGTATTTATTAATCCATTCAAGATTTGAATCAAGTACGTACCTATAGGACTTACGAGGCGGTCGAAAGCCGTTTTGTTAATTCTTCTTAATAAATGGTTAAGACATGTTGATTACGGACTTTGTTGATTATAACTGTAATGTGTACTTACTCCTCCTTAATGTGTTAGGTGATGTGTTTCCCTATTCACACGGATTAATTATCGTATTAGAGATCGCAATTTGCAGATTTTTCGAGCCTAAAAGAAGGTTACTTACAGCGAGCCAGAAAAAAAAAGAAAAAATTATTTAAGAAATCGTTTGAGACTGTAATTCTAAATCCTTAGTTAGTTAGAGTAGCCTTCACGCACTGCAGGGTGCACGATATAAATATATGTAATATTTTCCTGTTTGCATTACACTTACGCGTAATATTTGACAGCACTATATAATACACTTTAAAACACTTAAACTTAAATTAGCTTTTTAATGTCTCTCTAATACAAAAATTCAGGGGGTAAAGCTATTGAAACCTTAAAAAAAAAAAAAAAGAAGCACAGAAGGATACTTTTTCGATTCGAATTCATTCTCATTCTCTTTTTTTTTTTTTGGGAAGATAGGCAAGGTAATGCAATAACAATAACGTAGGAGGTTATAAAGCGTACCTTTTAAGTATTGGAAAAAAAAAATACTTGAGGCATTCTCATGAGGAAGCCTTGTGGCAAGAGCAAACATTGTAAGTGATTCAAAAAAAAAAAATAAATAAAAATAAATAAATCACTTAATCTAGTTTCATGCGTAATAAATACATTTATGGAAATACGTAAGATTTTTTGAAAAATATTCATTTTTATGTGATCGGCGACGAGCGTTTGAATGAAAAAATGCAATTTTCGATCAAAGAAGAAAAAAACACTTTTTTTTAATTAGGTCAAGAAGAAAGCTCTGTGCTTTTCTCGATAAATAACATTAGAATCGCGTAACCTTGTGGTCCAACTAACTCGATTAAGTCCTACTATGGGGCATGCGAGAAGCCAGAAGCGAGAGAAGCGAGAAAGAAAGACAACCTTACGAGATCGAAGGTAAATGCATTTCGAAACGTAGCCAAAAATCTTGAATCGAATTTAATTGGAGAGATTGGCGCTTAGAAGAAAACCAATTGATACCGGGCCATGTGGAAAATGAATCACTTGTGACAATGATATGCTAAAAAAAAAGATTGTGGTGCAAGATGAATGGCATTGTATTAACGGCCATGCAACCTGGCCATATAATTAGTTGTACTCTCTATAGGCAACAAGTAATACGATTAAAATGCCCAGCTTAGATAGAGCGATCGAAATTGATCAGTAGGAAACTGCCAAACTGCCCAACACCGTCAATGGCTCGGTAAAAATTGGGTGAGCTATGAATGCCACGACCATTTTCCTTCATATTCTTCTTCATGTCCACCAATGCTCTCTTTTCCAATTGTCTTCGCATCTGGGAGCCACGGGGGTCAGGAGGCTCGTCTCACAAAGCCACATATGCCTGCGGGTGTATGATGGACTTTGTTCATAAAGTCGTTGGAATTAAAATTTTCTCAAGAGAGAATTAATTATACAAAAAGGAATTGGACGGAATGGCCTTCCCTTTGGCCTATTAATTAATAAACTCTCTTGAGAATTAATACATGCAAGAATTAATTGACGGAAAGGCTTTTTCCCCTTTTACCTTACTTTTACTTTTGAACATATGTCACGGATGCCTGCGGGTAATTGTGGTAATTGATCAACGGCGCCGTGGAAGCCTTATGGCGGAAGCGAGCGCAATTTTTACCCTTTTTGAACGCATATCGTTGATCAATTTGTGAGTCCTGACTGCATGGGTGCGGCCCTTCGGGGAGTACTCGTGGTGATTGTGGTTGGCAAGTTCCTCGCCAAAGTGGAACAATTTGAGTGCAGCTAGGCCTCACCACTGACCAGAGTGGGGTTTATTGTTCCATACACAATAAACCGTTCTGGACTCTGGTGTTGTTTAGGCCCCTACTCTGTGGGGATTGTCTAACTCGCCAGGGGGCGTAGTACGCTTAAAGTGGCTTGGGCCACCGTGGGGTTAAGCCTTTCAGGCAGGAACCCACGTTAAACCCTTGCTACAAATTCTGTCTTCGCATCTATGCATTTTGTTGGTACGAAAACATTGGTATTTGCCAGGAGACCTTCACTTACACTTTTATGGAGACAATGTGATAAAACTCGTAAATATCACATTGGAAATTGGAAAGCGACAAAAGAGAACTAAAATAAATGTCGTCGCCTCCTCACAATCTCAAAACAAGTTCATAAAAAAAAAAGTGGGTGCGCTTAAGAAAAATTCTTATATATTATATATTGTTACGAATTCGGTTTTCTCGGTTACGGTTCGTTTCACGAGATCGCGGATATACTTTTTAAGCGCAATACACTTTTCGCACGTTTTCACTACAAGACTCTTTCATTTCCAATCAATTTGTTTAGGGGTACGACTATTTACATTTCACTTTGACAGTACTCTCGCCTCTAATATTCTTTCACGAGTCAAATGTTCTTGTCCGACTGACTCGTTCCGCCTTCCGCCTTCCGCCTTCCGCAAATAGTCTATTTATATATACATTTTTACAAGCATCTTACTGTTACCTAAGTTCATGGCTTCATTTTTTTAATACGTTAACCAGCTCTTCCGCTAATCGTTTTTCTTGGCCGGCAGCTGTATGACGCGCCGCGAATGTGCACTTGGGTTTTCCCAATTAATTGGAATGAATTGGATATCGGATTTCCGTAACAATATTTTAAAATTTGTTATGCAATATACGTATAACCCAAACGCTTAGTGATCATTATTAAAATATGTTGGACCTTTATAATCGATACTTAGCCACTTTTTCCCGTAAGTTGACAATTTTCTATAATTTATTTATAAAACCTTCGACTGAATCCATCCAAAGAAATTTGTTGGAAAGAGTTTTATTAAGAATTACTTTTACGTGTGTTAAATATTTTAGATCTTTATTATTATTATTATTATTATTATTATTATTATTATTATTATTATT